CCTGGAGATCTTTACTGTTTACAATTAAAAAATTTCCTTTCTAGTTATTTAGTTTGATTTCCCATCATCAAATTTTTTATCCTTGTGAGGTCAAACTTATGCAAATGGGGTCACTCCTTTCGTTTGAGAAAGCAGCTAAGTTGTCATTCTTTAGGTGTTATTCAAGTAGTGGTCAAATGATTGTATTATAACCATCTGGAAACTTTCCGATTATATGAAATTAATGTTCATTAAGAAGAAAGTTATAGCATGGAACAGGGTTGTCTTAACCTTTTCAGACGCAGCATGGAGGGAAAGAGTAGCTGTCTTGATTTTTCATGTTATATTTTTCAGCTGTCTGTTATGCATACGAGGAATCATTTTCCTGCATGTATGTGTTTTTCTCTCATTTATAAATAAAATTTATTAATTTTCAAAGAAAAAGGTTGTAAAAAAAATTATGTGTTTTTTATTTTGTTTCTTAGTGTAAAAACAGAGCTTGTTTCTGAATAAGATATTGTTGATGTCAGCTGGATTTTGAGCAGTAGCCCATAGGTAATGAACTTGTGGCTATTGCATTAAGAGGAGTAATGACTTTAAAGAATTCTCTGGGAGAATATCAATTAGACAAAATTCCTGGTGTAGCAGACTTCTTGTTAATGTTACCTATAGTTCGAAGATAAAAGCATTTATTGTAGTATGGGAGATGGTCTATGGTGAGGTGAGGATTAGAGTCAGACTACTTTGGAAATACTACATTCACCATAATCTATGTTAGAAGAAGAGTTATGTAAACCTACCTGTTCTTGATTTGTTGGATCAGATGATTAATTCTATTGATCAGAGTAACCTTTTGAGCTGGAAGATTAAACGTGCTACTGGCGATGTTTTTGCTCTTTCTTGTTCTTGTTGTGTAAATTAGAAAATAAACTGCTTTATGCAATCATCAGTAACTTGATTTGGATGATAATTACTTTGTGACACCATTATTCCAATGACAACTGCAGTATCATCCATGAAATAATTACGTTTGATCTTGTGTGCTTTTCACTGTATCTTTTGGTCACGTAACCATTGTATTCTGTTGATTACTATATGATTGCCATGTCAAAGTAGTATCATTTAATTGCAGTTGCCTGATAGATGGTGGTTGCTGAGTACCTTGCCTCTTTTGTTTGTAAGTGAAAAGTTTTCTTTATCTATAATCACCAGACATATTTTGCATTTCCTGTGGCAAGTGATCAAAAGTATCGTATGATGGATATTTGTATCTTTAATCTCTTATTTGGTGCTTCATTTCGTGTAACTGACTATGTTAATGCCTCAAGAATCTAGAAATTTACTTTGAAAAACAGGCACTTTAAAGCTCATCTGTTTCAGGACAAATTTATCGAATCACCTTCAAAGAATATTACATCTTCAACTTCACCAATGAACATGGGTCCACATTCTCTGTTTATAAACCATCAGGAGCAGGGTGACTGCTTGGCTTTTGAAGGTTTGTCACAATTGTTATTTGGAATGTTAAAACCCATCTTTCTCTTCCAGATGGTAAATTTTTAATAGTCTATAAAATTTAAAATTTTTTTCTTAAGGTCCCCTTTCTACATTGTTTACTTTCTTGCTATGATTCGTTAAACTTTTATGTTTCCGTAAGGCATGTGTATATAAATTTGATGTCTGTCATATGAAGAAGTTCAGCAAATCAAGAAACATTTGTCGAAAATAATCTGGTTAGGATTTTAAAGTGATTTGTCAAAGCAAGAGTAAGATGATTTTGTACTTGTGTCAAATCTGCTATATGGGTTGTATTTTTGAGGCACTCTATACATATGTTCCTTATCAAAGAGCAATGATAAATTGTCCTCGAAAATCGCATTCTAATATATTGCTAACTTTTGGAAGCAAACTCTTCCACTTGTTGCGTTTGTGTAGTAGGTTTCTATTCATGTAGACTAGTCCTGACAAATAGTTAGTTAATCGAAGGCTTTTGATCTTCATCTTTAGTTTTGCCATTAAATTGCTGAATTGCTGTTGAGCCGGTTTGATATAAATTTTCTCCAAACAAATTTTGTGAAAGGTGATTTTTTGTAGAATGTGTTGTTAAAAAATAAGAAAAGCTATGGGTCACGTGCAAAATTATTTTATTGGGAGAATGTGTGGATGAAAATGAGTATAAAAAAAATGACTTACTAAAACTCTACGAATCAGGGGCATTATAGAAAATGTGAGCTTAGTCATAGGCACGTGCTACATCTGTAAAACTATTTGGTAATACATTATTTACTGATTGAAAGAAGGTAGAACATTTGTTGTTGTCTTGTTGACACATTATTCTATGTTACATAGAAAATCATATTGCCCCATATATTAAAGAAACAAGGCTAAAATATGAGTTTGTTGCCAGATCTGTGTATCCCCAAATATAGAGATCCAAGATCTAATATTGTATGCCCAATTTCATGCAACATGAATCATGACCCACTTCCAC